GTTTCTGTGAAATTTTTTTTTTTTAAATTTGAAACATTTGAATATCGACTTTCAATTGTTTTTGTTATTCAATTTAGACAAGAAAGATGGATACTGCGAAAATTCGAGTGATTTTTGAATACGAGTTCCGACGCGGAACTAACGCGGCAGAAACAGCCCGCAATATCAATGCTGCGTTTGGAGAGGGGTCTACTAATGAACGCACCGTGCGATTTTGGTTTAAACGCTTTCGTGATGGAAATTTCGACTTAAAGAACGAGTCACGAGGAAGACCGCCCACACAGGTGAATAACGATGAATTAAGAGAGATAGTGGAAGCCGATCCTAGTCAAACTACCCAGGAATTAGCGGCATGGTTTAACGTTACCTTACCCACAATATTGACTCACTTGCGTCAAATCAATAAAATAAAAAAATACGAAAAATGGGTGCCTCATGATTTGACTGATCTGCAGAAAGAAACGCGTGTTGAAACTTGTGTTGCCTTGTTGAACCGGTACAGAAATGAAGGAATATTGGATCGAATTGTAACATGTGATGAAAAGTGGATTCTTTATGATAACCGGAAAAGAAAAATGCAATGGCTGACCCCAGGTCAAATGCCACAACAGTGTCCTAAAGCAAAACTTACCAATAAAAAGGTAATGGTAACTGTTTGGTGGTCTCAGCATGGTGTTATTCACTATAGTTTTCTCCGATCTGGTCAAGCAATAACGGCAGATGTCTATTGTGCCGAACTCCGAACCATGTTGACAAAACTAGCAGTAAAACAGCCCCGACTCATGAATCGATCTTCACCATTATTGCTCCACGACAACGCGAGACCTCACACAGCACGAGAAACCATTTTGACCCTTCAGGAACTGCAGTTAGAAACCATTCGTCATCCTCCGTATTCACCAGACCTTGCTCCAACGGACTACCATTTTTTTCGTGATTTGGACAATTATCTACGTGACAAGAAGTTTTCTTCCCAGGAGGCAGTACAAAATGCTTTCACACAGTTTGTGCAGTCTAGATCGTCGGAGTTCTATCCCAAAGGTATTAATAACCTTCCCATTAGATGGCAGCAATGTATAGATAATAATGGCAACTATTTTGATTAAATAAATTTGTTAAAAATTTAAAAAATAAACAATTTAGATTTTCAGTACAAATCGGCAATTTCATACTTTAACCCCTATTATTTCACAAAAAAATTATTTTGAAATAAATGCAATTGAAATTTTAACAACGAATGTTTCTTACAGATACCATGGTTGTCCGTTCATTTGTCACAGATGATTCTATACATTATAACCTTACCGAAACTATGTAAATATTTGCATTTTACATAGGCGTCTGTCGCGTTTAATTATAAGTCATTTTCTATAAAAATTCCAGATAATTGGTTTTCGCAGTATAACGATGATACACAAGACTAATTTTATCGAATTCGAAATTAATTTTATAAATAAAATCGCAATAACACCTATGAAGAAAATAGTTAGTCTTACAAAAAAAATTGAATATGGCCCATTACTTACCAACGCAAAAAAGAAATTTAGTTTTATAAATCACAAGAAGACCAATATGTAAATTTATTTATCAATAAAAGAGTGTGAGTTTTATAACGAAAACTGAATAATGCCCTCCATTTATGAAAGAGGAAATGAGATTTGTATACATATAAACAATCTTCGAGGGTTGCGAATTTGTACTGTCCGTTTGAAATTAAAAGAAAATATTTATCATTGTTCAATAAGGTTGTTTCAACGCCACTCATCCTGTTCGGTGGTCAAACCAGAGAGGACAGTGACAGATGCACAATGTTGGGCGACCGCGACTAATAGAGGAAAGTGTATCACAGTTAACTCACAATTGCAATTTAGCTTATGAATCATGGCCACATTCTAGACTTGTGACGTGTAACAAATCATTCTAATTTAACGATTAACTCATTGGACAGTATGCAACTGAGAAGCACTAAAGTTGAGATTGATTCATCGAGTATATAACCAGAAATAGAGACGAAAGGACATTTAATTTGTTTGAAAACTATTCTGCCATATCATTACTGTGACAACAGCGCTCCGATTGGTTAGCCCGAGTTCGAAACAATTGACGGGTGTCATCAACTGTTTCACTTCAAATCGACCAGTTAACTTGAGTTTTGCTATGATGGATGAAAATTGCAAAATTACATATTTAATTACCGACGAAATGTGATTCCGTTTGTTTTGTAATTAGACATTTTGCGGTTTTTCCCACACCACCGAATAGAACAGCACAGCATTGTTAGAGATATTATCTTTATTACAATAAATTCAGAATATTTTTTGGAATACACGGAGCAGTGTTGGGCGTTAATCAATTAAATTTCAATCAATAATTCAATCAGATTAAAAAATCAATTCAATTGAAATCAATTGCAATTAAATCAATTGCGACGCGTCGCAATTGATTTAATTGCAATTGATTTTAATTGCAATTGATTTCAATTGAATTGATTTTAATTGCAATTAAATTTGCAATTAAAATCAATTCCGGCCGGTTAGTGGGCCCCGGTTGGGAACCCCGCTTGGGGTCCCCGGTTGGGAACCCCGCTTGGGGGCCCCGGCTCGGGTCACCGGTTGGGGGCCCGGTTGGGGGGCCCGGTCGGAGGCCCCGGGCTCCCAACCGGGGCCCCAACCGGGCCCCCTAACCTGCCCCCAGCAGGCCCCCAACCGGCCCCCTAACCTGCCCCCAGCAGGCCCCCAACAGGCCGCCACACCCAAAGCCCTAACTCACCCCCATATGCCTTATCAATTTATCATAATTGTCAGTTTTAATTGTTAATTGTTAATCAAAAACATTGAAAAGATTGAAAATTGATTAATTGTTAATTGTAGATATTTGCGATTAACGATTGATCAATTGTTAATTGCGAGAACCGCTTGATACTACTTGATACGAACTACTTGATACGAGAAGATAAACAAGAATGATCGATGTATTCCCTGAAGTTTTGTCACGCATCCGGTGTAGCGAGAATTCGAATGACAAGTTTATCGTTGGTGAGTGTCATCGAGTATATAAGTAGAAATAGATACGAAGTAAGAGTTATCAGGCAAATGGGCCTTATATCACTTTATATATCAACTTCCCTTAGCGCTGAAATCACAAATTAGAAAGCTAAAATAGTGTACAAGTGCCCCAGAATGAATTCCGTTGCTCTGGTACTCATAGTAGAGGGAATTCCTTATTTTGGAATCAGACAATTGGTGTCTTTGTGTGGCACATTATTATTATTATTCTTTGTAGGAAGATTGCAATGCAAAGTGAAAAAACGCAATAAATTGAAATTCGTTATACAAACACCAGATACAACATCAGTACAATCAATACTCACACACATTGAGTATACAGAATGAGAGACGAAATAAGGGCCATCCATCCCTGGTAACTTATCAGGCAAATGGGCCTAATATCACTTTTGAATATCAACTCTCGTTTGCGCTGAAATCACAAATTAGAAAATTGAAATAGTACAGCGCCAACAACTGACTTGTGTGTACGTCTCCGTATATTCCAAAAATATTCTTCAATTATTTTAATAAAGATAATATCTCTGTTCCATTCGATGGTGTGGGAAGTTAAACTGGTCGACTTGTAGTGAAACAATTGACGACACCCGTCAATTGTTTCAAATCCGGGCTTACCAATCGGAACGCAGTTGTCACCGTAAAGACATGGCAGAATAGTTTTCAAACAAATTAAATGACATTTCGTCCCTATATCTGGTTATATGCTCGATGGTGAGTTTAAAGAGGGATGTAATTGTTAAACGTGGGACGGATTTATTATAAAATCTATGGACAAACAGAAAGCTATGTCAATTCTTGTTTTTGCAATAGTGAAATAACCCCCTTGGGGGCCAGAGTAGTTGCGATTGGCGGTGGCGTAGTAGTCACCTATTTTTAGTGATTATCAAGTGACGGGGTGACCCTGCGACATAAGTTGATAAGTCCCATGTGACTGTAATTTCATCAGCATCCCTTACCAAAACCAGAACGCAGTAATGTGAGTATTAAAGAATTCGAGCCTTCAATATGATCTAAGTGGGATGAGAAGTTGAGAATGATGATGTAATTTACAATTAGAACGGTGTAAACAAAGGTTAGTGTGCCGAATGTATAAAGTTGTTACACTGAAGACTTAAATTGAACTCCATGCTGCTTGCTATAATAAGAACGTTCCCACGTCCAAGTTGTCAAGGTTAATGATCTTTGAGTGTAACAGTACTTGTTCAAAAAAAAGGTAATCTGATTTTTTTACATAAAAATATGTTGGGCTTAACGGGTGTGACATGCGTAATACACGAACCTCAGCAAGTGGGTTCTCTAGCCTAACCGGGAGATGGTGAGAATGGAGTTGAGGTACAGCTCTACTCCATTCTCATTTTCTGCCGGTAGGCCCTGTTACGTTGAGGAAGACTGTGGTGCAAATCCCAGTGGGGAGTGCAGTCAACAAACGGACGAGAGAAAAGGGGGACTATCTATATGTTTCACGGTTAGGTAGTCTAGAAGAAGGGGACGGTTTCCAAAGGATGGCAGCGCACGATACCGCTCACCTGGACGCCTTGGGCAAGTGGATGGGTTTACTCGCCTAAAGTAAGGTCCATTGAAAACCAGCGTCACAGCCCATACTCGGCTGTGGCTTTAGCTGAATGTGATCTTTTTGCATACGCCACAGCCGCACACATGTCAGTATAGTATTAAATTATAGTAAAGTTTGTTGTTTCAATGTTAGCTACGCTGTTTTTTATTGTGTCAGTTTTGTTTTTATCTACACTACTTTTGTGTTTTTTTTTTATATTGCGGCGTTGGAATAAATGATTTCTATTTCTAACCCGTCAGTAAATATGGACACAGAAAAGATAAAGTGGTTACAACCTGCTCAAGACCAGGAAAGATGGCGTAAACTGTACGAAGCCTACACTTTAAAGGTTGAGAATGGCTAAAGGAGAAGAAATAAGTTACCTGTAAATGTGCACAGGTTTGGTCTGTCCGACGCGGTAGATGCGGTCCTGCGCCTGCTCCTCCAGCTGGGGATTCCAGTGAGGGTCCAGCAGGAGCAGATGGTTGGCGCCGCACAGGTTCAGCCCCACGCCGCCCGCGCACAGCGACAGAAGCATTACCTTGGAAAAACAAAATTTACTTATTATACAAAGATCGGCCAGTTATAAAAAAATCCTTCGATCCAACCGGATTCGAATAGAACTAAGCTTAGTTGGCATAGCGTCTGGCACGTTTTGGTAGAAGACGTCGGTTCGAATCCGGCCAGATCGAACAACAAACAAAAAGAAATTGAATATCAATTCAATAAATAAAAATAAAGAACATATTTATTCAAATAGGGGTAAATTGCTCGCCTGATGAAAACATTATGAAACCTGCATGTCGTTGAAGGTACACAGTCCTTGGAAAACGTATCAAGTCCCCTTATACGTATGTATGATGCTATACTTTCTTGTTTTTTAGCATGAGACAGAAGGCAATTTTGGATCTTTTATCAGGTGCCATTTTACGCCGTCATTTTGTAAGCAAAGCAATTTAATAAATACTGTAAAACTAAATTCTCAAACATATTCATTAAATTTATCTAATTCTTAAGTTTCTTTTACTCGAAAGCATCAACTACCTCCGTGGATGAACTACCATGCCGGTCTGCCACGCAGAGAGGTCTTAGGAGGTCTGCCACGAAAAAGCTATCACGACAGCTATCGTATCGATTTTTACATTAGTTTCATAGTAAAACTGACATGTGAAGTACGTATGAACTTTGTTGTCACGTAGTGTCGTATTGCGTGGTAGACCTCCAGGTTCGATTCCCGGGCCGGGATAAATATTTGTATGGCCTACATTTATTTTTCTCGTGAGTTTGGGTATAATTTGTGGTTGTCTACGTGTGTCCATGGGATTGCAGGGTTTCACTAAAAATTTAAAAAAGACTTTCCATCTTTACAATCTTAATCTATTTCCAAAATCTTGGACTGTAAAAGACTTAAAGAAACAGAGGTTACGAACTTTAAACAGAACCTTTTTATAAAATAATAACTTATTATTGTGTCATTTTTTTTTTAGTTTGTTATCTGTTTGTCTGAAGAAAAAGGTTTAACATCACTGCTTTTTCGTTTACGTTTTTCTTAATTCCAAAAAAAAGTATAGTGTGGGGAAACATAAGCCTAAGCCCTCTCCGTAAAGGAGACCCGGTCCGGGGTTGGGACGTATAATAGTGGTGAAACGGATTACATGACTTACCCGCACATTGGACTTCGGGTTGTTAATGGCATCAATGAGAGGCGGCCGCGCAGGTACAGGCACGCTTCCGCTCAACGTAACGTTCTTGATACGCTCCTTTTCTAACTCTGCTTCAACAAGACGCAGTACCGACGTCCATTGCGACACTACCACCGCTTTGTGGTCTGAAGTATAGATATTATATAATTAATTTATAAAACATTATAGTGCGCAGCATTCTGGGCGTTAAACGTATTGACCGAGTACGCAATAATACGCTGCGTTCGATGACTGGCATTGCTGATGTGGGTAGCAAAACAGCCAGGTTCAAATGGGATTGGGCGGGCCACGTTAGCTGGGTGCAACCCGAGAAGTGGGCGAACGTCGCCACTCCTTGGTGCCCGAGGAGGGAAAAGACGGCGGGGACGGCCGAGAAGGCGTTGGCTGGACGATCTTGACGGGTTTGAGTGTCAGTGCTGGGACATCGCCAAAGACAAGGACAGAGCAATGGGGTTCAGGGGCTGTTTCAAATACGCTGCATCGAAAATTTGCAATAACTTACCTACTTTAAACAACATATGAACGAAAAAATGTTGACAATGTTGAAAAAGTGCAGAAAGAAACACTACTGGACTATCCTTGTTTTGTGGCAATAGGTAATTAAATAAATGCTGCCATAGATTGGTTTAGAATTAGGGTGCACAAGGAAATACAAGGAAAGGTAAATTCATACAGAAGATGATTAGAAATGCCGTTAGAGTAGAGTGAAATGTACAATGATGTTTAAATAGAGATTATTTATTTAATTTAACTGAAAGGAATTATTTATTAATTCGACCCCTCCGACGTAAAGTATCGTATGTCGAAATTGCCAAGTTTACAGGGAAGCGTTTTAAAGTTCTGAATTCACTGAAACGAACATAACACGTAGAGTATTATAAAATCCTAGATATCGGTTAGATGATCTATGGTGATCACTTTTTCAGTGAATTCAGAACTTTAAAACGCTCCCCTGTAAACTTGGCAATTTCGACATACGATACTTTACGTAGGAGGGGTCGAATTGTTTAGACTTAGTTTCATAATGTTACCAAGTACTAAGTTTGCGAAACAAGCGCTATTACAAATGTTTTTGCAAAGATCAGGGACAGGCTGAAAACCTATGATAACCATATAAATGCTGAGACTGTCACAAATCATTTAATGTATATATTAATTTATTTTTGCATCTATAAGTAATCTCTTAAGTTTAGTTTAGTTATGTAATTAATGTGTGTGGAAATAAAAGGTTTAAAAGACAGAAGGCAATGGAGGATTTTGGGGGAAACCATTGCCAAGCAGTGGAACCTAATAAGCTAATTAAAAAAAGAGTCAAGTAGCAGCGTAGTGCGAGAACTGCTGTTGTCAGTTGAGTGGACGGGCGTTTCGACCAATCATTCTCCAACTAGGCTACCACTGCCCAACTCTCGCTACATACATTCAACCGACTCAAACGTATTTATGATTTCCTACAACACATCTCCAGTATGGAATTAGTTATTTGTTATGCAAGGCTGGAAAGTTGATGATTGACACGAGTGCTTGTATTGAAACCTGACTAAACGAAGGACTCTAAGGGTCGTATTCCAGAACTCTACTCAATACTGACTTGAGTATTGCAGTGAGCACTGAAAATCATACTCAAGTCCTTGCCATTAGTGTCGTATTTCCAGTGCTTGAAATCATACTCAAGTATGCTCAAATCCTGACTTGAGCATTGAGTAGAGTTCTAGAATACGACCCTAGGATTCAAAAAGATTCCTGAGCGTAGCGAGGGTTTCAAGGCACGAAACGCAAAACAACTTTGCTGCCGAAACACATAACTTTTGACTTCACTATAGCGAGGAAAATGGTAGATAAAAGAAAAACAGTTGAAGTGAAAAAAAAGTTTTTACAGTTTGAATGATTTTTATTATAATAAGCAATGTGAATAAATATTAATGAAATTAAATTAACGTAATAGAATTAATATGCTCATGTACAAGTTTATTTTGATTTCATAATTAATTTGTACTTTAAACATTGATTAAACGTACTTTAAACATTGTACGCCCGTAGCGGGTACATTGTGAGGACGGTTAGATTGGGAGGTGTAATTATGTTCATCACATTCACACAATAAATTCATTCTATTCTATTCTATAAGTATAACAAAACAGTTTTAATAAACAAAATTAGTTATCGTTGTCAATTTAATGTCAACGTAATTTACGACAAATTGCGTAGTTGAACGTTTATTTTCATCGAAAGAAAAAGTTAGGTACACCACAGGGCATTGTTATGGGCAGTTCGAATTTCATAAACTATTTTACTTTAACTGCCTCCGTGGCCGAACGGTTACCATGCCGGACTGCCACGCAGAGGTCCCAGGTTCGATTCCCGGGCCGGGAGAAATGTTTGTATGGCTTACATTTATTTCTCTCGTGAGTTTGGGTGTAATTTGTGGTTGTCTATGTGTGTGTCTATGGCACACGCGACACAGGGTTTCCCTAGTGCGGGGCTATGTTGAGTGTGTGCGTTATTTATTTATTATTATTTATTTTACGCGCAGATTTCTAATGAGAAAGAAAGCCTTTCCAAGCTAGTGGAGTGAAAAAAACTTACCCTTATTAGCAAACACATTTTCCCTCAAACAATTCATGACGGCGCTGATCTTCGACGACATACGCGAGAGTTCAAACACCGGGTTGTTGGGCGACAGGACAGAGCGAATGGCTTCGGCGGCCGTCGTGCTTTCTAGCTCGGGACCTTCGTCTTCTTCCTCTTCTTTGTTACGGCTCTGATATGGAAATCTTTTGTTAATCCTCACAAGGAATAGTGGTGATTACAATAGATCATTAAATGGTCGCAGTGGCGATGGATCGCATAGAACCTGAATAGCGCCACTCTAATAATAATAATAAGGTGAAGTGTTGCCTTTAACACTAATTCCTACGAATTATCAAACTTCTATCAGTGTTGCCGTTTAAAACCGTTCCTCGACCTGCGCAAAAGAACCGATTCAGCACGAAACAATTTTAAACTCGAGCTGAGATAATAAGAGGTTCCGGGATTGATTGCCAACAGAACCAATTTAGGAAACCAATTTGTCTAAATTTCCTTAATTTCGTTTCTCTGGCACTCATAGCAATTTCGTAATTAGAGAGCAAGTAGTTGGCGTGATTGTCTGCAAATGCACCTTTCTCCGATTGCCGTCTTCCAGAGACAGCTTATTGAGTTCGGCGAGCAAGTCCTGGCCCGCGTCCTCGGCGACGGCGTCCGCGGTGTCCTCGTCCAGCATGGCGGCGATGAGCCCGCAGTGGCAGCACACTTGGCGCAGGCGCAGGAGCAGCACTAAGATCTCGTGGGATTTCACCGGTTTTGCTCCTGCATCAGCATTTACGAAGAAAATTAATATTAAATAATAGACGTATCACAACAGTGGCGCTGCAACAATGCTGCTAAATATCCTTGTTGCGAATTATGTCGCGATTTTGTTTGTATTACTTTTGTTATATCATCAGCATTAACAAATTTAGTATGATACGAAAGTAGGGAACTCAGCCCGGGAGTCCAAGCAAGTGAGATATCAGGCGTCTGTTGGGAGTGCACTGGTTGTTCGGCACTACACTTGGTAAGTTTGCAAATTGTTTATTACTAACTTAGATACGGTATTTATTGTCTAGGCCGCCTGAAGATAGAGTATGACGAAGCAGTATTATATTTAAAAAGACTCGCCAGTTGTACTGAAGTAGAATTAATTTGGAAGAGGTATACGTGAAGAAAGATACTTTATTAAACGCCGTTGTGATTGGAAAGATACACTAGTTTACATTATGATAGAACCTTAGACGTAGCGACAATTGTATGGAAATTAGTAGTGACGCGGCAGCAGCTCCACAGTGATGCCACTGCATAGCATCTATAAGCGTCAAATTCGAAGGTGCTGTTATTATTATTAATACAAAGATCAAACAGATCCAAAGAAAAGTTCCATTGATCCGACTGGACATCGTAGCCACGTTGCGGCAACAGACGCTGGTTCGAGTCCAATAGAATTGATTGAATTCATTGTGGTTATTCGATCTTATTATTAATAATAATAGTAATTTTTAAGTTCATCGATACAATATGATATTCAATTATTTTTGTGAAATTACTCGACTAGTTTGTTATAATTATTATTAACACAAAGATCGAACACTTGGAAAAAAATCCCAATAAACCAATAGGTAGCAATAATACAAACAAGAAATATTATGTGACAAGTAATTGGTTACCTTGCAGCGCAATCATGCGCTTGTGCATCTTGTCGTAAGCAGAGTTCTTGACCGAGGAAGTCAGCGCGCCGTCGGCCTGCTTCTCAGCCCGCTGGTGCAGGAATTGCGCGAACAATGTCTTGGAGAAAACCAGCACCTGCGGAACCAGGATTTGTTGAAACAAAATCCAGCTTTTACTCGCAATTTTGCTTCACGCGGGCACAAACTATAATTATTTGCTTAAACTGCTAAACTCTATAGAAATGTAAAATACAATGTTTTACAAAGACTGCACATTATTTAATTTCAGGCCTGGCCCATTCTACACGAAATACAAATACATCTGGCTAAGGACAATGTACCTGAAATAACGTAAAAAAAATTTTTTTTTTTATTTTATTTCACAGCCCCGCAGTAGAGAAGCCCTGTGTCACGGGTACGAGTATGTCTTATGGCCACATAGACAACCACAAATTACACTCAAACTCAAGAAAGAAATAAATGTAGGCAAAACAAATATTTCTCCCGGCCCGGGAATCGAACCCGGAACCCTGCGTGGCAGACCAGTATGGTAACCGTTCGGCCACCGAGGCAGTTATTGATTATAAATATATTTACACAATCCCATTTCAGTATCTTTTTTTAATTAATGATAGATCATCGTAGATAGATTATTTAATGATAGATTA